GCGCCCGCCCTCGGTGTCCTCGCGCAGCAGTTTCTCCACCAGGTTGTTGAGGGTGTGGTTGGTGCGCAGGTCGGCGGGCGCCACCCGGTCCTTGCACACTGGGCAGGTGGGCGTCGTCTGCACCTCCCAGCAGCGGGTCACGCACTCGCGGCAGAAGTTGTGGCCGCAGCGCAGCGTCACGGCATCCCGGAAGGGGTCGTAGCAGACGGCGCAGAGCAGCTCCTCCTTGATGGAGCGGGAAAGCGTGGGGGACAGCGAGGGTTCCGACTCCATGGCACCCACTGTCTGCTGGGTGCCCGCAGCTTCCGCTGCCGCTCCTTCTCAGCCCCGTCGCTGCTCCGGGGACTTCTGGTGAGCGCGGCCCAGCCCTTTCCCTCTAAGCGCTGAATGACAGCCGCGCAGGCCAATCCTGCGGGGCATGCTCAGAGGCTCCGCCCCGCTTCCGGTCGGGGCGGAAAACCATGGAGGAGCGCGGAGGGGCTGATCTGTTCCGATGACGCTGCCAGTTCCCCGCGAGGTACCGGGATTTATCGAGGAGTAAACTCCCCAGCGGCGCTGTAGGTATTCCGTGTCACTGGAAACCTACTTCCGATTTGAAATGGGAAATGAAGTCTACAAGCCCCTTCCTTAACCAATCCCCGAAGGTCAGTCAGGCCCGTGAGGCCCGTGAGGTAGGAAAAGCCAGAGCTCCCCCTTCCTAGATCCGAGGTAGAGTCTCCCCCCGCCCCCCAGTTAATCCTCACACGAGGATATTTTTCCCCATTGATTTAAAAAAATGTTTTTATTGATTTCAGAGAGAGGAAGGGAGGGGGAGAGAGAGATGGAAACATCAATGATGGGAGTCTTTGATCGGCTGCCTCCTGCACGCCCCCTACTGGGGATGAGCCCCAACCTGGGCATGTGCCCAGACCTGGAATCCAGCTGTGATCTCCTGGTTCAGGGTTCCACATTCAATCACTGAGCCAGGAGGCCAGGCTTTTTTAATTTTTATTTTTTTTAGAGAGTGTGGCAGGGAAGGGGTGAGACAAGAGAGAAACATCCTTGTGTGTGATTGGTTGCTTCCCGAACACACCCAACCAGGGCCTGGGCATTGAGCCTGCAACCCGGGTACATGCCCATGATGGGAACTGAACCCTTCAACCTGCAGGCAGACACTGAGCCAACCCGGCTAGGGTGAGTCTGGTCTTCACAGCGTGGCTAGTGTTTGCACCATTTAGGATTTATAGATCTGTGCCCACTCTTGCATTAGTTGTTTACTTAATATTACCCACCCTGGGTAAAATCTCTCTTCTCTCCTTGAGATGTTAGGATTAAAGTGGAATAAGTATGGAAAGTGCTCATGACATCAGGCAGGTACCCTTTAAACAGAGAGCAGGTGCCAGAAGCTGGTCCACCCTTGCTGCTTGACACAGTCGCTGCAGGGAAGAAACATCTGCACAGCTTATGTTTCAAGGCGTACATGGCATATGTTTGCTCCCCCTCTTAGCGCTATGTGTTTTAAACAGGACCACCTCCCCGAGAAAGGTTGTTTCCCCAGGTGAGGATTTTTCCCTGGAGTTAGGGATTAACAGGACTAAGGAAGAGAATAAAATTAATCACTTTAACTATGAACAATCACGCTTAGGCTACATAATCTTTACTTAGGATAATCTCCTTCAGTTACTTCCTTGTAGCTTAGTAGAACAATAGAGTAACCTTGGAATGGAGATAAGAAACTCGCCCTAACCTTTGGAATAGAATTGATAGAGTTAAAATCAACTGGTATAAATACAGATGTAACAAGACAATAAACACAGAACTTGGCTGGAGACCCCCCCCCCACAACCTGGCTCTGCCGATCACCTGAACACTGCCTCCGTGTCATTCCTTCTTCGCCGACTCCGTCCACACCTTTGGGAACCCCTGGACCTGCTGGGGTTGGACCCCAACAAGCAGGGACTTCTGCAAAGTTAGCTCTGGGACCTAGAATCCAGCCTGGTACAGCATGCCTGGATCTTTCCACCTCCCATTCCTGCCTCTGTTGGATCACTTCACAGCCTTCAGACATATGTGGACGTAAAGGGGCCACATGCTAACCTGACCAACTCAGGGAAGGCCTGCGTGGCAGCCTTGCAAACTCAGAGACCTAAAGTAACCACAAAGGATGGTCTTGAAATTAGAAAGCAGTTTAGCCCTAACTGGTTCAGCTCAGTGGATACACCGTCAGCTTGAGGAATGAAAGGTCCCCGGGTTCCAGTCAAGGGCAAGGGCATGTACCTTGGTTTCAGGCTTGATCCCCAGTAGGGGGTGTGCAGAAGGCAGCTGATCAGTGTTTCTCTGTCATCAATGTTTCTATCCCTCTCCCTCTGTAAAAAAAAAAAAAAATTATATATATTAAAGAATTAAATAATTAAAGAATCATCCATTTAAAAAATAAAAAATAAATAAAAAGCAGTTTATAGTGGGTAGTCATGTCCCAGGCTGGTATCTTCCCTGACAAAGATCAACTTTGATCTTAACTGAGCCTATTTTTACATCTATGATAACAGACCTTTGGAATGTCAGGGTAACTATAGCTTCCATTTTTCCGGACTCCTCGGGGCACAACCAGTGTGCCAGGGGAAAGACCACAAATTCCCACATTGTTATTGTTTAGGTGTTAACGGTTGACTGTTAACTATCCTGTACCCACCTAAGTAAAAGAAGCATGTGTCTACCATTTCACTTTTTATCCAGTTCCAGAGGCTTCCCCACTTTGCTTTCTCCCACCTCCCTAATCTATCACCAATGGATTTCATGTAAACCCACTAATGTCTCCTCCTTTGATGGTAATTTATAAAACTAGGTGAAAAACCGCTATTCTCTGGAGCATTATCTCAATATGTTGAGGTTCTGCTTCCCGGCAATTGTTGACAGTTTGGCTCAAATAAACTCACAAAAATTCTTTACAGGTTAGAACGTTTCTTGCTTTAACACATAGGATTCCTTTCCCTTGACACACCCATTCCTGGTTTCTGTTGGAAGACAGTTCCTACATATCTTTTTTATTTTTTTTGTTTTTATTGATTTCAAAGAGGAAGAGAGAAACAATGATGAGAGAGAATCATTGATCAGCTGTCTCCTGCACGCCCCCCAGTGGGGATTGAGCCCAAAACCCCGGGTAAGTTATAGTTCCTGGTTCAAATGCTAACCTTAATGGCAATCTCCAAAAAGGCTACAAGTTGAGGCTAACAACTCCCTGGAAAAACTTGACTTTTCTTGTCTCTTTCTTTCATTGTGTTCTCTTATCTGTGTGTCCCAGTTGCTCTGTGAATTTGTCTGTTCTGCTATCTATGTGTTTCATTCTGTTCTTAAAGGATCTTCTTTGTTTGTCTTGTTGTTTTTCCCCTTTAAAATTTGAGTGGGCAAAGAGTAGAAATTAATTGTATCTTTTTAAAAAAGTAGAATACGAAGGTTGACATTAAACCAGTAAGGTTCTTCAGTCTTTCTGGGAATCCGGAAAGGACTTGGTTCTAGTCCAAACTCCACCACTAGCTAGGGAAGCGATTTTCAACCTTTTCCATCTCATGGCACACATAAACTAATTACTAAAATTCTGTGGCACACCAGAAAATATATTATTTTTGCTGATCTGATACATAAATAGGTATAATTTTGATTTGTTCACACTGAACAGCAATTGTTATGTTGGCTGTTAGAAGTTTTTAATTTGATAGTCTAAGGCAGTGGTTGGCAAACTCATTAGTCAACAGAGCCAAATATCAACAGTACAACGATTGAAATTTCTTTTGAGAGCCAAATTTTTTAAACTTAAACTATATAGGTAGGTACATTGTTATTAATTTAATTAGGGTACTCCTAAGGCTTAGGAAGAGCCACACTCAAGGGACCAAAGAGCCACATGTGGCTCGAGAGCCGCAGTTTGCCGACCACGAGTCTAAGGGAAAAGAGGTCGGTGTCCTTGACTAAAATAGTCAGGTATTGCGTGTTTTTAAAATTCTTGCAGCATACCAGTGTGCCTCTTGCAGCATACCAATATTGAAAATTGCTGAGCTAGGGGCATGACCTGAGCATAGTATTTCACTTTTCTGACTTCCTTCAACTATAAAAGAAAAGATTGAACTAAATGCTCCCAACTCAGACACTCTGAACTTTTTTTATCCTCTGCATAATTTCAGTAAAGAGGGCGACTAAGGCATACCCAGAGCCTGGGAAGGAGAATTCTTGGTGACTATAACCGATTTGTCACCAACCTCTGTTTCTTCCTTCAGTAGAATGGATCTTCATCAGGGGACCCCGAAGTTCAGCTAAACTATTGCAAAAGTCTAGTGGCAGTTTTCACTGTCTCTAATTTGTCCCACCTCATACCCCAGGCATCCTTGCTGGGCACTACCACATTTCCAACCTCCCTGTCATCACCATGTAAATTTATGTAAGGAATGACAACTATTTTTTAAATGTTGTGCCAGAAAAAAAAAAAGTTCCTAGGTGCAGAAAGAATGCCCCCCACTTCCCCTTAAAGCAGTTGACTGCAAAGTGGCTACTGCAAATAAAAGGCAGAGATTGTTAGATTAGATAAAAGCAAGCCCCAACTATATGCTGCATAAAAGGAACCCACTTTAAATATAAGCACAGAAGTTAAAAATAAAAGAGAGATAAAGACATACCAAGCTAATAGGAGTCAAAGAAAGCTTGGGTGGATGTGTTAATATCAGACAAAGCCAACTTCCTATCAAATAATCTTGTAGAGATAAGGAGGATGGCTGCTGAATGCAACTGCTGCAGAGCTGGCAATAGCAAGAACCGTTTCTAGAAATAGGCAACCACAGTGCAGTCATAATTGAGTTTGTTTAGTCAAGTGACTGAGGAAATCACTGTAGTCTGATGCTGGATGTGGGACACAGAGATGGCTTGGGCCTTCTCTGAGGCCTAAATGATGGACATAGGAGGCTGGGGGCTCTGAGTTGGTTTGAATAATGCAGGGAGATCTTCCGTAAGAAATGGTGCTGGCAGTTCCTGCGGCTGCCGCGCTACTTTAGGTCAGGATCGGTGGGGAGGCCTGGGCTGCCGAATCAGAGCTGATGACGGTGGATGACGTGGGGCCGCCGCTGGCGCCCGCATTTCTGGTTTGTGGTCCCCACCTCCTCACATGTGTAAACAGTGACGGGGCCGCTACATAAATCCCTTTGCGGTGGACAAATGACCATGGAAACAATTGAATCTCAACAGGATGGAAGTGTAACAGATTCTGTGACAGAGAGAGAAACTGCAAATATGCAGGCCCAGACTGGTCAAAATTCAATCCCTAATTTAGCTCAGGTTTCTGTAGCTGGATCAGGCACTGGAAGAGGTTCCCCAGCTATAACTCTAGTACAAAAATTTATGCACCCAG